AAACTGGGGGTGATCTCAGGTGCTCCGGAAGGGTAAGCAGATCCTGCTCCACATGAGACATTCGTCGTGTAGCTCATGTTAGTACAAACCCGGTAATAAGTCTAATTCGGTAGGTCACATTCGTGAAAAGGGGACGGGATTGTAGTTACGACATGAGGAACATATCCGCTATCATCTGTGAAACGGATATTCCATAACGGTCAACCAACTCGTGATGGCGTTCGTAAAATTTACGAAGGTATGATTTCAACTTCACCTCTTGGAACTCTTGGTTTAATAGTTTCCTTGTGAGCAGCAACCCTTTATCAAGGAAATCATGATAGGAAATACAAGCCCTGGAATATCGTATCAACTGGGAGATATATACTCCGTATGCAGGCGCTGCTGGAATGTTGCTACATAGAAATGGAAAATTCACAATTCGGAAGCTGAAATCATCTCTTTTGTCGTAAAGTTTTGTTTTCCACCGACCCTCATTGTCAATTTCTAGATGTAAGTCAAGATATGAGGCAGACTGTATCTTTTGTATCCTTTATCATAAGTTAGATGGGATAAATGCGTTCAACATAATTGAACCAGTCTATACATGTCTATACATCAAAGTAACACTTTAAAAATTTCGTGCCTCCGAAGTACTTTTCGTTCCTTAGGAACACTCAAACCAAAACATTTGAAAGACAACAATGTTTTGTCGGTGTTTCTGTGTCTTATGAATTGTGATTGCCTCTTTCGTTTCTTCTGAGCTCGAGTAAAACACTCCCCTGTTTGAATTTGCCCTGGAGTTTTTAAAAAAATAGAGTGTTTATTACTCAATCACAAAGAGCGCTAGAGTTATCAATTACGATGCCTATTTTTTGTGGCTGGACAAGTTATATATTGCAAATAACTATACTACCTTAAGAATAAATCTTTATTACAATCTTACTGCAGTTTTCACACAGAAGCAATCATTCAATCACAAATCGTTTTCCAAATTATGTGGGCAACATTTGATCAATCACACGACATCTCAAAATTTGATCATAATCCGTAAAATGTTGAGGCTGTTTCGGATTAAAATATATACTTTTCTCTCATCTAACTAGATTTAAAAAAGGAGACATCTCAGAAACACTAACCATTTTTGTGGTTGATAGTTGTCAGGTTGTTTCTACACATGATGGCGATGTAAGAAGAAGGGCAGTGCCTTCTTCACAGGTTTTTTACAGCTCTGTCTTTTTGAAAGTGATGTTTTCATTTCCGTGACATTTCAACAGTTACACCATCTATTTTACAGAAGCTCGAGTTGAAATTTCTAGATGCTCAACACACTCTTATAAAAATTCTTTTGTAAGACATGCTTCTGCCAATATTGAACACCTAGATAGTAAGAGTAAATTAATCAAAATGATCTTTTCCTGAAACGACTAGACAATTTACAATTTATGTCTTCATATCTACTAATACAGCTTCATTATCCTTTGTTAGAGTAATACCTATTTTTCCTAATTATATTTTTGCACGAGGTTATTTTTAACTTCATATTAACCTCAAGGTAAATGTTTGAATACAATTATAGTTGTTGATTATTGTTGTGTAAATCTCATGAGAGAGATTGACGTCATCAATTGTCATCTATTGTGTTAGTCTTTCAATAATTTACCCTGACCTTGTATTAATTTTGAGTTTTTGATAAACAAAGGTCTAAATTTTTAATTTTCAGTGTTTATGTTGATCATGGCTATCAAATATTAATGCTGTCTTTAATTGCATTAATTCTCATCCTCTCGTATCTTATTTTTTTTCCAAGATTGCGAACTTAAGCAGAATGTCTTCTGTAGAAACAATTAAGGGTGACATTATACTGAATTGAATAATTAAACTTTTCTTTAAATTCTAACGAAGGCCATACAAACTTGCTCTATATGCAAGGAAACTGTCGCCAAGATTCTATAGATGTTTATAATACTTCTATTTATCAACATGATGTTCTTTCTACAAATGTGTATGTTGCATCGTCTTCAGTATTAACTACGTCTGTTTATCTTGGTGTTTTGTCTTTTGGAATATTTAAAGAACATATTGTTTTCCTTGTTTATGAATAAGGTTTTTTTTAAATGTGTCTTCTTCACTCCGTCAAAATATGTTACATGTAAATAAAAGTAGATGTGTGGTATAACCTCGCTAAATTTAGGCTCATTTGATTTTTATGCTCTAAAATATTTTGTATATTTGGATTTCAAAATTTTGGTCATGAGCATAAGAGAGAGAGGCGAAAGATACCAAAGGGACATTCAAACTCATAAGTCGAAAATAAACTGACAACGCCATGGCTAAAAAAGAAAAAGATAAACAGACAGACACTAGTACACAAAACACAACATAGAAAACTAAAGACTGAGCAACACGAGCCCCACAAAAAACTGGGGGGTGATCTCGGGTGCTCCTGAAGGGTAAGCGGATCCTGCTCCACACGTGGCACCCGTCGTGTTGTTCATGTTAGTACAAATCCGGTGATAAGACTAATTCGGTAGGTCACATTCGACGAAAAGGGGACGGGATTGTAGTTACGACAATTTAAACGTATCCGTTGTCATCAGTGCAACGGATATTTCATAACGGTCAACCAACTCGTGATGGCGTCCGTAAAATTTACGAAGGGACGATTTCAACTTCACCACTTTGGACTCTTGGTTAAATACCCGATTTTTGTTATCCAGAAACACGTGTTGAGTGAACGGAAATCCCATCTGTTTTTAAATTACTACAACGAAATTACAAATGAACGAAGGCGTGTCAGAACGAAAGTATAGCAAAAAAAAAAAAAAATTAAAATGAAAATATAATGAATAATAAATGTTTATCAAAATCACTGATTTTTTTTTATGTAAATTCATGTTCAAAAGATATTGTCACACAAATTCATAATATATAAAGGTATGAAAAATGAATGAAGTCCTCATATTATTGCATTATTCATTCTATTTGTAACCTTAATTAGTTCTTAGGTATTTATCTATCTTGGGTTTTGATCACAGTCTCCAAATGAAAATATATCCAGAAAAGCAATTCGAATGCATTGCCTAAAAAACTTCTGATTGGCCTAAATTGTTTCGTAGTTTAAAATCGTTCCTTATATGGGGCAGTTCGGATATTGAACTTCAAATTTCGATATTGAATTTTCAATTTCCAATTTTATATATTCCGATTTTCTTATATTCGAAATCAACAGGTGGATGACCGTAATTGATACAATTTTTCAAAAAGCATATCATTTTGTTGTGCTAGAATTCGGGGTTAAGTCTTATGATCTCTTAGGATTGGTACCTAGTGGATGGCTAATGAATAAGAGGCAACATTAGTTTACCGATGTTCAAAATTTGTTAATCCATTTGGAATATACAAACAATAAAAGCGTAATTGAGGCCTTTGTCGGTGAGAGTAACATTCAGTCTAGCTTGAAATTATATCTTGCATTATCATATCTCATGTTTATGCCTCAACTTCACGAAAGCACTGACCCATTTCCTTTTTCTGAATGTTGTTGAAGTAAAGTTACATTTGTATTGCATTTTTGGTTATGTTGAAGAGAATACTGAATGTTAAACAACACTCAACACATACAAAATTGTGTTAATGTGAGGAGAGTTAAGTGTTATATGTACCGTTGATATCATTTAAGTGAAAGGTATATATCGACTTTCAAAATATATCCAAATAAGTAGCAATTAAATCCTAAACTAAAGAAGTCTCTTCGTAGATAAAAAGATAGATTAGAGATAATTAAGATCAATAATCAGTAACAATGACTGTCACTACACTTCTTCTCCAACATTTTTTCTTAATCATGTAAATGGAGATTATCTTAAGATGAAATGCATTACTAGAACAGAACCATTTTTTTGTGCTCGTAAAAAGTTATTACTTCATATATTTCTTTCCTCATAACTTTTCAATTTTGAGTAAATTAATACCATGCATTGTAAAAAATAGAATAGTTTCAAATTGTAGTGTCATCGTTATCATTCGAGCTTATTTATAGATAAGGGCCAACAGTAGTTTACCGACGTTAAAATTTCATAAATCAATAAAGAAAATACAAAATAGGGTTAAAAAAACCTGAGTAAATGACAAGAACTCCATAAGGAACAAGATCAAGTGCATCGATAGGATAAACGTATTTTACTATGCATGCATCCCTCGTCTTACGAATCCACATTCAGTTAAAATGTCAAGATCGGGAATAGGACACAATGAATTAATCTACAGACCAGACGACTTTTCTGGTATCTAAAGATATAAGCTCGCGAAAATATGTCGCTAGTTAGTTGAGACGCAGATACATCGTATCGGTTAACCAATTCGCGATGGTCACCGTAAAACTAGTTAGGAATTGTCGTTTTTCCTAAATACTGTGTTGGAGCAATGTTTGAGTAGGACAGGACGAGTTTCAGATTGTAGTTGCACTTTCATGACTTGAGATATGTTGTAAGACAAACAAAAGAGCAACCATCGTGACATGTTTTTTTTAGCAAATTTAGGCTGAAAAATGATAATTTGTGATTTGGTTAAAATGTATGACAATTCTGAAAACTGAGGCTAAGTAGTCTAGGTCACTTAAATTCTAATTATCCGTTTACAATATCATTAACGGTACGAATTTTACTGCACCGCATTTCGACAAATTATCTCTCTTAAGTGATGCTTGGTGACTAAATATTTGAACGTCCGAAACCTTATACAAACGTCGAGGAGTTGATAAAACCAAAAAGAATAAAAAGTAAATCAAAACCCAGACAAAAATTCAAAACTGTGCACGATGAAGAGACTTTCCATAATTAAAAAAGATTTCGAAATTTCGAAATTTTATAACACCAAATTTAAATCAAACAATATCCGTATTTTCATACCAGTACTAGCTACTGGGCTGGCGGATTATAATTCACAAATTATTATTTTGACTGCATAGTGTTAAATGTATATCATAACTTCCCAGTCTGTCGTATTGAGAAGTGCAGTACTACATGATTATTTTCCATTTATTTGTTTTATACAGTTTATACACATTCCATTTAGTTTTGGTGAACAATATACATTAGAGGCATACATTAAATGTAATTATGGGGAGTCGGGAGAGTTTCATATTGTAGTCCAATCGTTATGATTTGAGATATCTTGTCTGAGAGCTAATTGATATTTTTGAGAGAAAAAAATGGCAAAAAAGTGGCTACCCTGCTAGTTTTTCAAGAAAAATATTTGTGTATGTTTTGTAAGGGTTTTTTTCTGTGCTAATTCGAAAGGATAACTCCTTTCATATGATCAATTCGCCAAAGTTGAAGTTTACACTCAACTCTTCCAACTGATCTACTTTCTGTAATTTGAAAATAACACATTATAAATCTGGTGCTTCTGACGCGCTTTTATAAATTTAGCTTCATCAGTACGAAGAATGAGCACAGCGATAAGAAGTATTTTCATCGTTTATCTCCAGTGATTGCCGTATTTTTTTTAGAAAGTTGCTTACTTAGGAGGGGGGGGGGGGGTAAACGATCTTGACTGGCTATAAGCCCTCGCACGGTCGGCTTAGAAAGTTGAAAGGATTGAACGCTTTCTTATTTAGATCAGAAATTTACTAAAAACAAGTATGACTTGAATATGGAAACTTCCATCATAATGGCAGTTGATTAGACATTTTTTTCAATAGTTTTTTTTTAAATATTGTTATGTGTTTTGAAATGAAACCTGAAATTTATTTGTTCGATAAGTGAAATTTTGTAAAATATGTAAAACATGATAAGAAAGGGAGATAATCATAGTTGTGCTTAAAATTACAAATCACTGATTTTGTTATACAATCACCTCCCTTTAATATAAGTACTTCCGTAATTACAATGGGGAAAATATTCAAATTAAAAGTACAAAATTTCTGTCCGTTAGAAACATAAAGATATTTGTATGCTAAATATAATAATTACTTATAAAACGTTATTATGATATAAATATTAAGTTCAACTATTTTAAACTATTGACCCTAATCACTTTTTGTAAAATAATATAGTTGCAACTGATTTAACCCCAAAAACACTCCCAAATGTGAAGCATGGACCGCTTACCCTTCCGGAGCACCAGCGTTCATTCTCGGATTTTGGTGGGGTTTGTGTTATCGTCTTATCAGTTTTAAATGTCCTCTTGATATCTTCCACCTCTTTTTTATTTTATAATAACAACTTTAGAATATCGATGGGATACAATTTGACTATTTGAAGGGATAAATTCAAACTGCAACTTTGAAAAACATTTTTGCTAATTGGAATTGTGAAAGGACTAAGCCTTTTGAATAAGCACAGTAATACGAGCTCACTTCCTTTATGCATTTTGAAATTGATTAATCTATTTTTCAAAACATACATGAAGTATGTCCATAAAAAGTGGTTCCAAAACCGTCGGCTTATATTTAAAAAAAAAGAATAACTGTACGATGTTTCCCACAAATTTTACTTGACGTGCAATTGTAGGCAAAATATATTATATTTGAGAGCATAAAAACAAAAACGGCCAACGAGGTCAACGATGCCCCAGGTATCGCTTCACCAGTTAAAGTACAACGATCAGGTATTATAACAAGATTATACATATAACCAGGGACAACAATACTTTGATTGATTGTTATTTGTTTAACATCTAGTGGTAAATATACCATCAACAGTAAAACAATAGCTTCGAAAAAATACACAGAGGCCGGCCTCAAGATTATTTCATATTTAAAGGCACACTTTGTAATAGCACAGCTTTAAGAAATAAAATACTAATTTATATGTTCTTTCATAAATTGTCTCAGACCAAAAAATAACTATAAATAAATCAATGAAATAATGATCTGTTTATATACTTGCCTCCACGATTTGTTTGCTTATTCTGTACAAAATATGATAAATCATTTGAAAGAGAAGATAATAGTATAGGTCTTTTATAGACAGTACATAAGCCAGTTTAAATCGTAAAAATATTCCTAAATAGGTGGCAGCTGTATATGGCTTCTTGATTTAATTTTTTCCGGTTTTGAAACATTCAAAGTTTGTAGCCATTGTTCACATTTTATCTGAGTTTCGTCCGAATGTCCATGGATATGTTTATGTTTGATTAATGTTTTTGGGTCGATCTTTTTATCTGGATGAGCAATAATCATTTGAGATAAATCCGCATTTACTTCATGGTGGCGTATATTTTCTTCGGTCAAGCTGATTGAATTTGTCCGGCTCCCACTTGGACTATCAGCGGATGACCCTCTACTTAACGATGACCGTTGTATGTAGCTTCTCCGTAACAATCTTGGTGTCGAAGTAGGCGACTGATTAGCACCCGTTGATTGTGACTCCCTTAAAGAGAGCAAACTTTTTCGGCTTTTAGGAGAAGATGGCGGAGTTGGCGTTTCTGATCCAACGCGCCCATTCTGTTCAAAAAATTTGGTATCCCCGATTGGCGAAAATGGCGATAATTGTTTCAGTATATGTGTACAACTGTCATCAGTTGTTTGTTCAAACCGCTGACTCCTTTGTTGATTTTCGACTTCATCAAGTAATTGTGGACATGATCTAAATCGAGATAAAGACACATTAGATCCTCGTCTTTTCCCATCGTGAATTAAATCGTCTTCATCATCAGAAGTATCCACAGTTAAAAGCTTAGTCTTATTATCACTGATTATATTCATCATTAAGATTGTAACGTAACAGTGTTTTGGATAAAATAACTGCGATTAAGCCATAACTTGAAAATCAAACGTGTTCAGAGACATTTATGTTCCATTTAAACCATCATCACTAATGCTATTCTGTCCTCGTTGGAGTCGTGTCTGAAATAATAAAAAAGCATTATAGTTGAAAAGCTTGTATACTCTGATGAAGTCAATTACCAGCAAATTTATAGAATATAGCCTTTGTAATTGTACGAAAGCATTCTATTATGTTGAATAACAAGGAAATATACAGTAATTATAAAACACATGCTGTATGACAGGTTTTGGAAAAATCTGGGAATAATCGATACTATTATGACGATTCTTAATATCGTTATCTGAATTCGTATTATAAACCAGAATATTCATGTGTTATTCATCGAACAGAATGAAACACTGCTTATTTGAGATATCATATGTCGTGATCAATAGCTGATATAAAATCTTCATATTATTTCTTATATAATTTTATGTAACGTGTTTATGCTTCCAATGTCAATTAGCTTTATTAGTTGTCCTGTTTGATATGGTCAGTACACAACAGTAATAATGTATAAACAATGCATCATTTTAAATTAAACTTATTTAACTTTTTATGGAAAGTACTAGATTTTACGATGACTGTTCGCTTCTTTTTTTTTTCTTGTTTTTTGTTGGGTTTTTTGTCTACATACACAACACATATACAATGTTTTGCATGAAAAAGATTGATCTATATAGCCAGATAAAAAAATAGCATGCTTTGTATGGAAACAAATGAAAGCTTAAGGAGTTGGAATTAGTTCAGAACCATTCGTGAATGTTGATTTTGAATTATAAAAAAAATGTATGAAATTTAAATAAGTGAGCATATTTTTACAGCTTCTCAGATCAGAAGAAATGGTTTATGACTTCCAAACTTCTGTAATATGTTGATTTTGAATCACAAATCACGAGAAGATGTTGTTTAAACATGGAATAAATGTCACACTCTATGAAATTCGTACGTTAGAGCTATAAATGGTTTAAATTGCAGAATTTAACACAGAACGAAATGAGGCCATGTATTAGCTGTTTTGTTCCTTAAACTGCACTTATTTTTAAAAAAAAATACACATTTGTCATTATCAAGTACTTTTTGATAACCTATTTATTGTTTGTGTTGGACTTGTTTGCAACAGTTGATTTGCATTTCAATTTGAAGTCACATTTTTACCGAAAAATGTACTTCTCAACAGTCCCTCTATATTGATATCTAGTTGTAAGTCAGTTTATGAAGCAGTCTGATCTACATTTGTGATTTCCTTTATTCCAAGTTTGTTCAATGTCATAGATGCGATCACCATAGTCATCAAGCTTTGAATTATACAGTGAAAATCATGGAAATAGATGAATGTGAAGTTAAATGGTAAAGCTTATTTCTGATTTAAATCTTTAGAAGCTCCTATATGAAGTCTTTCTAATAAAGGTACAAGTTTGCAAGGAGTGGGGCGTAGTTGAACACGACTCTTAACATAATTCATTAAACATTAAAAGTTACATTTTCAATATATGGACTTAAGTTCACGCTTTTTGTCGTTTAAATATCAATAAAAAAAAATTTCAATGAGTTTTTCATTTTCAAGTATACTTTATGTTTAAGCTAACCGACATAATAAAATTTCTGAACAAAAAGAGAGATTTACGAATTTAGAATTATTACACACAATAGAGTATTGTACTAATTGAACAGCATTGGTGTAACTAAATATGAATTAAATAAATCATTTATGTGAGCTATATTTAAAGTGTTAGATTTTTTGTTTGTACGTAAAGTGTATTTTTCGCACAATCCGTATGCATTCTGTTATTTTATAGGGTAGATAAAACGATTTTATCTATCTTTGGAGATACACTTATTCATTTATGGTATATAGAGTGTAGTAGTATAGTGATAAAATCATATTTCATTTGTATGATGACATGAAGTACAAAAAGACGTCTGTCGAATTGCACACATTCGTAGAAGAAGATGCATTTCTGAGTCCGGTTTCCAAAATATATAATCAGGTTGCAACTTGTCAACATTTGCTGGATGCACAATTGATTCTAAGAAGTAAGTCATTCAATCCAGAATTTCCATATATTATGATTAGTGTCATTACGGATTGAATATGTAAACGTAGAACTTTTACCGTTAATTACTCGACAACACTATTTATGGGACAAGACATGGAGTTTCCTTTATCTTCTAATCGCAAACTATGCATATAAGTGTCCCGTCCAGTGTTAATCAATTATTGAAACACAATGAATGAAACTGCTCGATCATATTCATTATAACAGACATGACTTAAGTTATTTTTTGTTATCCTTTTTAAAGGGTTTGTATTGAGAGACAGTCAATAACAATTTTAAAAGTAAAGTTTTTTTTCAGTATTTTTTTAAGAAACTCTGGGATCTATACTAAACACATGACACATTTTGTGAACCGGGCTCAGAAAAATATATTGTTGTGTCTTTGTATATGCATATAAAAATTATTTTAATGTTATCTTTTTACTGATGACCACTATCGAGTAAAAGTTATTTACCTCCCATTCCTGTTGACAAAATATTTGTGAGACTTCGTGAAAATAGTTCTACTAAGTCAACCTGTTAATCCTACACCACTTTCGACTATCGAGGAAATCCCTTTTCAGATGTTAAAATCAATTACTAGCAACATTATTCTACCACGTCGACTGTTATTCTAACAACGAACCTAAGTAAAAACTCATCAACATTTATTTTAAGATAGATATACCCTCATTGGCATGAATCGAGTACCTATCTTTTCTGTTACTATATATTTGGGAAATACTAGTACTCCATTTGAAAATATAACTATTTCTGTGTAAACACCTACATTTTTTTGTAATATGACGACGCACAAAATTCCAATTTGGTTGATGAAGGAAATTAATCTAATATGTTCTTAATTACTCTAGAGAATCGGAGCAGAATATTTAGTATAATCAACTAAAGTATCACTATTTGTTTACCATGTCACTATATATGGATACAGGACATATTAAAAGCTATAATTATAAAAGTAAACACTATTGTTTTCTTACGTGGTACAGATTTGACATGAAGGTACACACGTCTTTAAGATTTAATAAACACAAGCATGATCAGTATATATTCACATTCGAAGAATTACTCCCAAGCTAAAATGGCATCGATAAACGTGATAAATTATCACTTTTACAAAACAATATCTTAAAGCCTTACTATAATCATCTCTACATGATATATTAAAAACTGAACAGTTAAACAACTACTAAACTGTCTAAAAAATAGCGTTTTAGTGCGATAATTTTACTATTTAATCTTTTATTATAACGCTGTAAACTGTGAATTACGAAAATGTAAAAACAAAAAACCAGAGCATTAACACATATATCACAAAGACAATATACACAACTGGATTGATTTGAAACAAAACAAAAATACATAAGTAATAAGCAACAGTAGTCTACCGGTGTTCAAAACTTGTAAATCCAGTTTCATCTTTAAATATTATACAAATCATGATATACAAAAATGAGGGAATTGCGTGAACTCAAAACAAATTGAGACGGGGTGCGTCGGCAGGGTATGGATATTCTGTTATATATGCATCTCCCGCCATGCGAATCCACATTCAGTCAAAATGTCACCAAAGAGAAAAGAACGCAATCGGTATATTTAAAAATATACCTCTTTCTGGTATCGAAAGATTTAAGACCCCAAACCCCTTATCATAAATATTTAATACTTAATAAATTCACATGATAAGAAAAAGGCAAAGACTGTCACATACACTTTATACATTAATCAAGTTTTAAATGTATTTCATTAGATTTTTCCTGCTGCACAAAAACTCATCAAAGATAGCAGGATTATATTTCATTGCGCCAAACGCGCGTGATGTCTTCAAGACATCACGCGCGTATGGCGTAATGAAGGACTTCAAAGACTCATCAGTGGCACTGAAAGAAAGTTGAAAGGCCAATCAGACACGATGTTGAAGAGAAGTCTAGGATACATATATTCCTGAATCTATAAATTCTAGGATAAACAAAAATTCGCATGAAACACAGCAATTTTTAACGTTTTTACATTGATTTTCTTTCAAGTGGTTAATATCACTCATAATGGACTTCGGTCGTTGAGTATATCATTTGCACCAGGTACTAGTATTCATTTTGGTTGTTATGGTTGTTCGTATTGTTAAAGCATAAGTTTTCAGTGTTGACTATTATTTTATCACAATGTACATGTCTTTATGATTTTTTATGATACAATTCATTACATTTAGTCAGTTTCATCTTGAATTTTTATTGTTGATATGTTAATTTTCACTGCAATATAGTCGCTTCTGAAATTGTCTCTATTTGAAAAGGCGAATTTTATGTGTAAAAGAATCAAACATGAACAATAAATCGACCATACATAGATTTCATGATCTGATACCAGCATTGTAGCTATAAGTTAAAAAGTGCATCCCAAAGACCAAATATGTTTATTGATAATCTATTGTTACATAACAATTGTTTCATAAATATGCAAGACACTGTATAGAACTCGACCCGACAATTGTATTGGTATTAGTCATAAGTGAATTACTATATCCCAAATAGGGAAACGTTAACCTTGAAGACTCGCGTCAGTTTCAAATGAAAATATTATGCAACTGCAGTCTGTGTGTTAGATTATTACATGAATCATCGTTAGTAAAATAGAAACCATTGCAAAACAATACTTTTGATAACTGTACATTAACTTTCTCGACGCAATAGGATATACTGATAATACCAGTGTAATATTCATATCATTAACGTTTTAAAAGGAGCATCTCGTGCATGTGGTATTATGTAATAAAGAGAGAAATGTAACCAATCAAAAACCATAGTAAAAAATAAAATAACAAAAATACCGAACTCCAAGGAAAATTCAAAACGGAAAGTCCATTATCAAATGGCAAAATCAAAAGCTCAAACACATCAAACGAATGGAAAACAACTGTCATATTCCTGACTTGGTACAGGCATTTTCTTTTGTAGAAAATGATGGATTATTCCTGGTTTTATAGCTAGCTAAACTTCTCACTTGTATGACAGTCGAGTAGAATT